TATCATCACCTTGTTTGGGTTTTCTTATCTGAGACAAGATTCTTTATTTGAATAATAAGAAAATTATTAAAGAAATAAAAATATAATATTGGATAAATTATAGTATTTAATTTTACAGCTAATGAATCTCTAAGAAATTTTAATAGCAATATAAAGGGCACAAGTTCTATAGAGCCTAGAGTAGCAAAGCTTGAGAAAAAACATGAAGACTATTTTAAAATGTAATAACAACAAAACAGCCTAAAAGAGAAATTTCTCAGTAGTGTACCAGTCTAACAAATAGGTCTTGGAACTATGATTTTTTTTTAACTCTGCCTATCTCCAATACCTAGCTTTGTGATAGGCACATACATAATAATAAATGTTTTTAAATGAACGAATGATTTACTCTCAAGAAGTGAGTAACTACAGGAGAACAAGTAATCAGTCATAGAAGAAACACAAACATGTGCTCAGCAAGACATTGTAAGGAAAGCAATGAATGTAAGCAAAAGAATAAATAAGAATTGTGCTATAAGTTAAACAATTGGGTTTCTTGAGTAAAAACCAACAATAATATAAAAATATATAAGTGCATGAATTAGGCTTTTATTGGTTGGAAGCAATAGAAACCAATTTTGGTTAAGAAAAGGAGAATTAATTGGCAGTGTCTGGAGGCTCATGAGATCAGCAGAGCTGCAGTTAGGGTTAGGAATGGGCAGAAACCAAGGCCATTTGAGAGACTAAGAAGCAGGACTCATAACAGGGAAAATTCAGGTCAGGGTGCAGCTATTTAAGGGAGGTGACAAGGTAGAGGTTGGTGGTAACTTGAATGAAAGTCATTTCAGTGGAGACTATGAATACTTGGTTGGAGAAGATTGAAGAGAGATGGGGGGAAATCAACTCTATGGACGAATTTTTCTGGGAAGGGAGCACAGAAAGACATGAGGTCAAGAGACGTCTGTCTTTTATTACTGCTACTTAGCATGTTTCTATGATGATGTCACTGAACCACTGGCTAGAACGCTCTTCCCTGCAAACGCTCCTGGCCTGGTTCCTTCTCATCCTTCGTGTCTCACTTCTTGCTCCCAGCTATGCTTCCTTGCTGTATTTTCTGTACAGCACTCGACCCTGCTTGAAATTTCCTGCTGTATTTGTTTGACTGCCTCCATGGACTAAAGTGTGAAATTAAAAGAGTGCAGCTTTGCCTTGCTTACCACTGATGCTTATCACCAGCATCTAGAAAAGCACCTGTCACGGAGCAGAGCCTCGATAAGTATTTGTGGGGTAAATGAATAAACAAACAGATAACTAGAAATTCCACTGTTTCATTCATTCCTTTATCTCTAGTCTGAGATCCAAAGTCCCAGGATCCAATTGCTAAATACTCAAAGTTCAGATGCTATGCATTCCTTTGTCTGGACATGGTTTTCCCTCCTTGGGTTATATGTATGGTTGGAGCTGAGTACATGAACTTACTGTCTTTTCCAAACCCAATTTGAGGGGAGAGAGGCAATTCCCACAGGGAAATCAGGGTTTCCTATGCTCTCTGTAGTACAGAACTGTAAGGAGAGAGAAAGAATGTCCACTCCCTGCCATTAAAAATGCCATAAATGAAAAGTTTACATTCCTGCCCATCAATTAACAGCTTTCCATTTCATTCCTATGTTTCCTAAGGAAAGAGTTGAGGACCTGGGGTAGGCAAGTCTCTCTGCTCACACAGATAAACACTCCCCTTCATTAAAACAAGCTGGAAGCTGGGAGATAATTAGACCAACTGTGTCAAGCAATCAGCATCACAGGGAAGAGGTCACACACACACAAAAATGACTAGAGAGCTGGCTAATTCTTGAGAGAAACAGAAGGAAAGCCTCTGCAATCAGCTGAAAAGTGGTTCAGTTGTTGTGGTTTGTGGACTGATCTGTACTTATTTGCATGATGTTACTTTGGTTTCTGTCTCTCGCCCACCTCTTCTCTTGTTTTCCCCTCACAAAGACACACCCAGACTCCCAGACATAGGCATAGTCATCTTGTGTCCATCACAGTGAAAGCTTAGTGACCTTCCCTGGGTCAATTCTGTAACAGCAGTCACTTGTCTCCATTAGGGGAACACCGATGAGGTAATTCTGTTGCTTTTATTTATTCTTTTCAATGCTCGGCATAGTTAAGCTAGAAGAGCCCTTTGGAAATCCAAGACCTGCTTTATTTACTCTTTTTCCAATAGAACACTGATGGCTACCAGAATGACAACTTTGATACGGTGATCAGCTCCATAAAAACATGGCCAGCATCGATTTCATTCATGTGTAGCACCATGCCTAGTACAGAACAGGTTTTCAATAAACATTTGGTAAATACATGCATAAACAATGGAAAGTCAGTGGACAGATGAAGGCCGAAGGTCTATTTCCTAAGCAGAGACTCTAAAAATCTCCACTGCAGCTTTCTCTCCTCTCCTAGGCCACACCACTTTATTGTAAATCTATTTGTTCTGTCTTGATATTTCCTCAATGCTATGTTTCTTCTTCTACCTTCCTTTCTAGTCTTACTGATACTTAGTTCCCTAAGTTTGATAAGGCCTCCTGATAAACATTAGCATGAGAGCACACCAAGTATGCATATGCCTTAAGATTCCTTCTTGGTATGTGCTCATATATGATTTCTGATTCTAAGAAAAGATGCATTTTTTTGACAATCCACAAAGTAAGTGTTCAAATTGTGCACAGTAGTCTACAAGAGTCCCAATGAAGGTGCAGTGTTTTTTTAGTTTAAAATATTGTTAATGGTGGAAATGCCAATAATTTATATTTATTTCTAGAATGCTTGGGATTCTAGAAGTGTGTTTTTTATTCTCACATGAGGATATGTTTTTTTTTTTAGAGAGAGAGAGGAAGGAAGAGAGAGACAGAGAAACATCAATGTGAAAGAGGAACATCTATTGTTTGCCTCCCAGATGCTACCCAACTGGACACTGAAACCACAACCCTGACTGGGAATCAAACCCACAATCTTTGATGCACAGGATGATACTCCAACCAACTGAGCCACCCATCCAGGGCAATTTCTAGGAGTTTTGTTATAATATTTCTTGTTTCCATTAGACTTAAAAGGAAAAATTTTAGTTTTTCTTAAAATTTAGTTCTTTTTTAAAATAAAATTTTTCAGTGACTTTCATTCATAAGTACTCTTTCTAAACTTAATCATAAGAGAACATTATTGTTAATTTTATTATTTAGCCTCCTCAGTCAAGAATTCTGTAGACCAAAATGTCTTTGATAAACCTGCTAATTTGTTCACCATCTTCTTCTGAAACCCTCCCCCCACAGTATTCATTGAAGGAGAGGTAACAATGGGAAAGTCACTGCTCTTCAAGGACTTTTTGAAAGTCTGGGTTTGTGTCAGCCATATCTCCTCACCTCTCTTTTTGATTAGTGAGATGTAAGATAAGATTAATAACCATTATAAATAATTAGTGCCTACACTGCCTTTCACCAGCCATTACTGAGATGACCTTCCTTTCATAAATTGTTATGAACCATATGCATGGTGAACATTTGGACATTCCTCTAAAATGTTCTAAAGAATAATCCACTCTGTGGCTGTTTTAATAAGATGAGCTAAGAGTACAGAACAGAATGTTCGAACTGGAAGAAATGACAGAAACAGTTCAAGTGAGGCTTTTATAAGTAAGAAAACTAAGGCATAGACAGGTGAGCTGACATTCTGACTTCTACACTGGCTGCTAACTAGATGCACCACCACCACCGCAGACAAGGACTGTCTTTCCTTGCCTTCCCACATCTACCTAGTTAGTGATTTTTCCAGCCAGACACCAACTGCTCAAAGTTCATAACTTTACTCATGGGATTGTCTTACCAAGGGAGTGGGTGACTTGAAGTTCTTTGGAGAAGTAAATGCCAATTTACTCTTTAAGTGATTGGTTCTAACTACATCCACTACTATTGCAGTTAATTGATTTATATGCTCTATCCCTAGAAACAAATTCTGTGATTTAAAAAATTGCTGTTGGCCTGGCCGGCGTGGCTCAGCGGCTGAGCATCAACCTATGATCCAGGAGATCTCGATTCGGTTCCCGGTCAGGGCACATGCCCAGGTTGCAGGCTCCATCCCCAGCAGGGGGCATGCAGGAGGCAGCCGATCAATGACTCTCTCTCATTGATGTTTCTCTCTCTCTCTCCCTCTCCTTCCCTCTCTTAGAAATCAATAAAGACATATTTTTTTAAAATAAAAAATTGCTGTTGAACTAATCCAATTTATTTTGGAATGGGCTGTGTGATTAGGTTTGGGTGAGCCCAGGACATCCGGGATCAAAACCTGGGAGTGATTTTCATCTACTGCAGAGCTCCTACGTGTGCGTCCTGCCAGAGCAGGAAGTGAAGTGAATGCAGACTGACCTGGGCCCAAGGATGTGTCCAGGGAGAGATGTAGCAACTGGCTGGGTGCAGTGGCTGCTGTCTTCAGACAAGCAACAGAGAAGAGGAAGCGGGGGCTGCAGATGAGCTGTGACCGTGAGCAGAACTCCCGCTAATCAGCCACAACCTAGCACCTCTGCAATGCTGTGTCAAGAAGGGAGTTTTAATTGGAACATTGCCAGGTGGGGCTGTCTGTCTGGGGCGTATGGGTCCCAGGGAAAATCATCACAATTGGGGATCTGTAGCAAAACCCACTGTTAAGCCTGTAATCCAGTCCACTTCTGTGTATGCACCACTCTCCCACAAGCAGTGTGACTGTTTCCTTAGCACTGGTACTACATGTAACAGGTTTTGGCTTGAGCACAAAACCACTGCTGCTGGCCCACTTTGAATGCTTTCTCCAGAAATAATGAATATGCGGTGATTCCTCATCAATAGTCATACCTGTGTCTGATTTGTGAGGTGTTTCTGTGGCTTCGTGATTGGGATTTTTTTTCTTTGGGAAGTTAATTGTCTTTCCACAGCCTTTGTGGTCGCTTAGCAACAGAGGACCACAGAGGAGTAACAGGGATTCTAAACCTCTAAGGAATGGGGATAGTTGATGTCTGTCCCATGGACAGGGCACCCCAGTGGGCCTGACTTGAGATGGGACAATGTTATGGCAAGAAATCTGTGGCCCCAGAGCCTGAAACCCCAGAGAGAAGCAGGTGAGTCCACAGCTCCTCCTTTCCCAAAAGAATTCATGGGAGTTTTTAGATAAAGTAGCCTTTGCTCAGCACTTCAAGGAAAATCTTTCTATAAAAGGAAGGGGAGGGGGTGTGTAACATCAGACAGACTCTTCTTCCTTTCCTGGGGAATGACCCCATTCATTGAACCATGCTGTCTTCCCAGATCATAGAGCAGGACTTGAACACACAGTATGTGTTCAATAAATATTTGTCAAATGAATAAGCCGTCTCTCAGTTGCTCTCCTCAAAATCACATCCTCACCCCAACCATTTTACTGGTGTCAGAAGGCGTGTGTTTGTGTGAGGGGGGTCAGGGGGTTGACCCGGGCCTTTTTAGAACCACTATAATGAAATGTCACTTTCACGCTCTCTTGTCAGGGCATATACACAAAAGAAGATAGGTCATCCCAACACTCCCCAGATAAAAACCCAAACCAACTCTAGCTACAAATATGGAAGCACAGTTCACCTCTATAACTGATCTATGGTTAATCACTGGGAAATTTTCATGTTGGCACAATACTCATTTCCCCTTCAAATGTGGAAATACCTTTCATTCTGAACTTTCTTATAAACCTCAGATGAGAGCTGGACACTTGAGGGCAGTATCCTGTGTGTTACGTTCCCATGTAACTGTAGTTCTGCTTTGTGAAGCTTTAAAATGTATTTTTCATGACATGAAATTTATGGGCTTTGCTTTTATTTACTTTTAACCTTGGGTGTGTGGTCTGTGGGTGATGTGGGAAATTCACAAGTCTCCCCCCATTTTTTTTTAAACATATCTTTATTGATTTCAGAGAGAGGAAGGGACAGGGAGAGACCTGAAACATCCATAATGAGAGAGTCATTGGTCTNTTATTGATTTCAGAGAGAGGAAGGGACAGGGAGAGACCTGAAACATCCATGATGAGAGAGTCATTGGTCCGCTGCCTCCTGCATGCCCCCGACTGGGGATGGAGCCCACAACCCGGGCATGTGCCCTGACTGGGAATAGAACCGCGATCTCCTGGATCCTAGGTTGACGCTCAACTGCTGAGCCATGCCTGGCCAGGCAGTCTCTCAAAATTTTATATGAAATGCTGTTTCCATGGGCAAAAGAGTCCACGAATCTCAAAAAATTAACAATCTTTGGGAGGGAGGAAATTTTTGTCTGTTAAAGAACATGGAATTTAGCAAACACTCATTTTCTTTAAATTTCCCTGAACATAGCAGCTAAGGAGGTAAAAAGTCAGTGTGCTGACAATTGGAGAGGTGAACATAATGTTACCAAATGGAAGAAAAATGCCCTGTGATCAACAACTTGAAATGAATAGCCCAGTGTGCAACCAGCAGGGAAGCCAGGTGGAAAGTGGGACTTTGCTCTCACTGCGAATTATCACTGGTGTTCTTGTCTTCCTGGAATATGGAGCTCAGTGTTCTGTGCGAGGAGAGAGCAGGGCTTTGAGGCAGGAGATGGGTGGGCCCAGCTACCTTGATTAACCTCTAGGTGGGTCAACTCAGCTCCTTCACTTCTAAGCAGGAATAAACCGGTCCCATTATCCATTTGCCTGCCCTACTTTCTTTCCCGTCTTCCTCTCTTCCCATGCCCTTGAGACAGACCTTCTCCATAGTTTATATAAACTGAATGGGAACTTGCTTCTATGTTGTCCACACAAGGGGAGGTTAGGCCTGGGATGCAATTAACCTGGGGAATAAAGAAAGCATTTTCCCAGGAAATTCTTTCTTATAAAAATTGGGTACTCAATAGTTGTATTTCCAAGTTTTTTCAAAATCATTTATTCACATTGACTAATTGGTGACTGATTGATTACCACTTCAACTAGGCATTAAAAACATAAGGTGAAAAGTTTGGAAAACAGAAAGATTTCACTTAAAGGAAGGGGAAATGTTTATGTTCTTGTCAAGCACTGAGAAAAAAATAACTGTAAGCTTGCATACAATTCATATTGTCACTCCCTGCCAACAGAAACTTAAAGAATTTTTTTTGCAGTTTTCCCATGAACACTGAAGAGAACACTGCAATAAAAACAAGCTTCATAAATACATTTGTTAATTCTAATTTGTTTTCTCTCAGGCTAATAGGCTTTACACAGCTTTTTCCCCCTTAATTATGGTACAACAAGACTTGTACTGTGTATGCTTCATTGCTATGGATACTCTGAGGCCATGACTCATGACCTTTAAACATTACTGTCAGGCAGCCAAAGCTCTCTCACTTTTTTATTATTTTTTATTTTTTTAGCTCTCTCACTTTTAAATCAGTAGTTTTGTTTCAGGTATTGTTAAGAGAAGATGGTTTCAAATAGTTTTTTCTTATATATTTGTGGCACATCTGAATATGCACATAAGAGTATGGAACTCAAATGCTTTGTTTTGTTTGGTTTCATTTAGTTACAGAATATTAATTTGTTGCGTGGAATGTCATTGGGTGTCTGAAATAAATAAGACATAGTCCTCTAAGGGTGTCACTGAGAAATGCAAAGACATAGGCAGGCAAATAATTATCTACCTCATAGAATGTAGTAAGGGATATAAAACACAGACATCCAAAAACCACAGAGGCAAGAAATACTTCTGATTGGTTGGATCAAAGAGGCTGCATTTGAGTCATGGTAAGAGGAAGGGGTAAGGTTTTGACAAGCAGAGAAGAGAGCATGAGCGTTCTAGTGGGAAAAACAACCTAAGGAAAGGATCAGTACATACTCTGGGACTACTGGGTAGAGTTTGGTGAAAATATCAGTGAGATGCATTGATACAAGATAAAATTAGTTAGAAGGTAAGAGGGTCCAGCCTATTAATGTCTTTCCATTAGTTGTATCGTCCAGCAACTGTGAAAACCAAAAGGTTGTTTTCCATTTCATGATAAAGAGTCACTGTCAAGTAGAAAGCACCAAAATACTGGGTTTTGTTGATTTAGGTACGATGCAAGGAAAGCAATTACATCTCTCTGAACCCCAGTGTGTCCTTCCACTAAGTGGGAATCTCATTAATTTTGTTCAATAGCCACTGATTACTTCATGAACATTTAAAAATGAATTTTAAACTTTTTGAAATGAGAGAGGCATGCACAGAAATATGGAAATAAAATAATACTTGTTAGGGAGATAGTAGGATAGAAAATAATAGAATTACCCCTGGATTCTAAAGTAATGTTTATTGGTTGGCAAAAGTAGGATGAGATTTATTAAGAGTTGAGGTTTATTAAACCATCCATTTATGCATTCATTTATTCAACAAATATTTATTGGCCATCCTAACCCTTTTCAAGGTGCTAAGAATAGAGTAGCAAAAATAACAACAGAAAAAATTCCTATCTTCAAGGAGTTTACATTTTCAGTAGGGAGGAGACACAATAAATGTAATAAACAAGCAAATTATATAGCATGGTGGAAGATGGTAAGCACTTCAGAGAAAAATAAGTAAGGTGATGAGGGTGGGTAGGTGAGTGGAGAGTTCAGTCTTCAATGAGGGGCACATGGCAGGCCTCACTGAGAAAGTGATATTTGAGCAAAGACAGAAAGGAGGTGGAAAAGAACCAAGTGGACGGGTGTGGAGAAGTATTCCTGGCAGAGAAACTTGAGATGGGAGTCCCTATGGAAGCTGAAGAAGAGTGGGGAGGCCAGTGTGACTCGGAGGGGAGGGACTGAGAAGGAGAATATAACATGAATTTAGAGACTTAAAGGTGGAGACGTGAGGGGGAGAGTCAGGAGGGACTGGGATGGAGCCCTACAGTGGATGGGAAGAGCGAATGGCAGAGACATCTGTAGGACCTTATAGGCAATTATTATATGGACTTTCAATTTTATTCTGAGTGACATGAGATCCCTCATTTGAGGGTTTTGAGCAGAGGAGTGAAATGATTTTTCGTATGGTTGATGTTTTAAAAACAGAATGTAGGGGGCAAAGATGGAAGCAGAGAGCCATTCAGGAGGCTAGTGCAATAATCCAGGCAGTAGCTAATGGCAGCTTGAGGCTTGAACCAGGGTGTTAACAATGAAAGTGATGACAGTGGACAGATACTAAACATAGTTTGCTGGTAGAGCCAAGAATTTCCTGATGGATTGGATATGGGTTCTGAGACAAAATCAGGACGCAAGGTTTTAGCCTGAGCAATGATGTCATCAACAGAGATGGGAAAAACTCTGCAAATAGAAAAGATTTGGGAGTAGGAATCAGGAGTCGGGCTTTGGAAATGATGAAATTAAGATATCTATTCTTACCTCAAAAATAAGATATGAGATGTCAAGAAGGCAATTGAATGGGTGAATCTGGAATTTAAGGAAGAAGTTTGAATTAGAGATATGCATTTGGGAGTGATCAGTATATTGATATTCAGAGCCAAGGGGTTGAGTGAGATCACCAAGGGAGCGAATGTGACTAGAGAAGAGAGGAAGTCCTAGAGTCTGCCAAAGTGAAGCACTCAGGGAGATGGGAAAGCACCATCAAAGGAGGCTGAGGAGCAGCAGGTGGCACAGGAAAGAAACCTGGGACCTTAGGGTGTCCTGGAGCCAAGTGAAGAAAGTATTTCCAGGAGGGAGTGAGGAATCAAGCCAAAGGCTCTGAAATAGAATGAGTTGTGACAAACAACGGTTGGATATAGTAATGTGCAGATCACTGCTGAATTCAGTAAGTGCTGTTTCTGTGGATTGTTACTGTGACAATCTGAATGGAGTGGCTTTAACAAAAATCGGGAGGAAAGAAACTGGAGACGGTGTGTGTACAGTTTTGCTATAAAGGCGGTAGAAATATTCAATCAGAAACTAAAGGTTAAGAGGGTTCGAGAAGCAAAAAAAATAACAGTATGTTTGGAAACTATTGCAAACAATCCGAGAGAGAGAGAGAGAGAGAGAGAGAGAGACCTTGATTAAGAAACAGTGTAGGAGCCTAGCCGGTGTTGCTCAGTGGTTGAGCCAGATCACGGTTCGATTCCCAGTCAGGGCACACGCCTGGGTTATGGGCTCAATCCCTAGTGGGGGGCATGCAGGAGGCAGCTGATCAATGACTCTTTTTCATCATTGATGTTTCTATCTCTCCCTGTCCCTTCCTCTCTCTGAAATCAATAAAAAACACATTTAAAAAAAAGAAAAAAGGAACAGTGTAGGAGACAAAGAATTCACCAAACCTGCTGTTTCATAGGATGATGTTTCCCTCCCTCTACTTCTTTTTTTAGTGGAAATAAGAGATTTCACAGGTTTACAGAACAAATTGTACTGTTCCGACTGCTTATTCTCAAGGGAACCTTTAAAGGCTATTTTATCTTCTTTGAGTAAAGTTTACATTCCGTAGTTTTGACTTCCTTTGGAAATGTTCAGAAATTGACATTTGGAGGAAATACTTCAGGAAATTTATCTTCAATGTTACAATATAAAAATCTATTTGGTGCGTGTGTTTGGGTGTGTGTGTGTACGCTTCTGAAATAAAAGGTTGGAATTTAAACTCTTACTTTATTTCAGCATCACACCTGGAAGTTCAGAGTCAGATAAGCAACAAAGAAACAAAATATTGGTAAGAAATAGTTTGCATAAATTACTTAAAAAATTAAAGTTAATAAAACCGTAACTTCTTTCATTAATGTTGAGATTTTCCTATGTTTCATTCTCACATTTTACTAGTAAAGATTTTAAAAATAAAACATGGAATGTTCTTTCTCAAGAAAAACGAGGTAAAGTGGACAGAGTGCCAACTAAGGGATGTTATTGGGCAGCAGGGAGGTTAGGTGTGGTGCGGTGTGGACTTTCCATTTTTATTTGCTTTCTATGGCCCTATGAATCATTGACATCTGGGTTACTTCAAAGCATTTTCTTGTATATGAGGAAATCCTGGAATTCAGACATGATACAGGTTGGGTAAATTACATTATTTGATTTAGTTAGACTTGAGTTTAAGTTACAGTCTATTCTAGATATTTCCAGTTCATGTTCTTTCAAGCCAGCTGATGACACACCTAGCTCTGACCTCTGAGGTCTTGTCTCTTCCATGGGCTCTGTTATGCCCTGGGACAGCTGGGTCCTTCCTACCTGAGCCTCATCTAGTTCCTCCTCAGGCCTCAGGTAACAACTATTCAGGTTGTTGATAAGTGTTGGAGCTGAGTGATGGCTACATGGGGGCTCATTATATTAGTTCTCTATTTAATGTAAGTTTGAGAATTTCCCTTAAAAAAAATCTATCCGTACACCCTGGATTCAGTTTTAGTAAGGATCCCCTAGACTCTCTACCCATAGACATTTCTGAAACAATCCTTTCAGCTCTAATGTAGAGACAGTGTGATATAGAAAAATTATGATTGTAGGACTAGGAATTAGGCCCACATCTGCCACCCCTGAGCTGTGTCACAATAGCCAAGCTGGTTGAACTCCCTGAGCCTCTTTTTCATCCATAGGCTGAAAATGATGAGATTTTAATAGTCTACAGGGATACCTTGGAGATACTGCTGTTTTGGTTCTAGACCACCGCAATATTAAACTAAGTCACATGAATTTTTTGGTTTCCCAGTGCATAGAAAAGTTATGTTTACACTATACTTTAGTCTATTAAGTGTGGAATAGCAGTATATCTAAAAAATGTCCATGCCCTAATTAAAAATTATTGCTAAAAAATGGTAAACATTATGAATTTTTGATGAGCTTAATCTTCTTGCTGGTGGAGGGTCTTGCCTTGATGTTGATGGCTGCTGACTGACCAGGGTGGTGGTTGCTGAAAGTTGGGGTAGCTGTGGCAACTTCTTAAAATAAGATAACAATCAGGTTTGCCATGTCAATTGACTCTTCTTTTCATGAAGGATTTCTCTGTAGCCTGTAATGCTGTTTGATAGCATTTGACCCATAGTAAAACTCTTTTCAAAGTTGGAGTCAGTCCTCTCAAACCCTGCTGCTGCTGCTTTATCAACTGAATTTATGTAATTTCCCAAATCTTTTGTCATTTCAACAATCTTCCCATCATCTTCACCAGGAATAGATTCTATCTTAAGAAAGCACTTCCTGTGCTCATACATAAGAAGCAACACCTCCTCATCCATTAAGATTTCATCATGAGTTTGCAGCAATTCAGTCACACCTTCAGGCTCCACTTCTATTTCTGGTTATCTTGCTATTTCCACCACATCTGCAGTTATCCCTCCACTGACGTGCTGAATCCCTCAAAGTCATCCATGAGGGTTGCAATCAACTTCTTCCAAACTCCTATTAATGCTGATGTTTTGACTTCTTCCCATGAATCATGAATGTTCTCAATGGCATCTAGAATGGCGACTCCTTTCCACAAAGTTTTCAATTTACTTTGCTCAGACCCATCAAAGGAATCGCTATCTGTGGAAGCTATAGCCTTATGAAATACATTTTAAATGACAAGACTTGAAAGTCAAAACTACTCCTGACCCACAGGCTGAAGAATGGATGTTGTGTTAGCACGCATGAAAACAACACTGATCTCATTGTATATCTCCATCAGAGCTCTTGGGTGAGACCAGGTTCATTGACAATGACCAGTAATATTTTGTAAGAAAATTTTTTTTCTGAGCTGTAGGTCTCAACACTGGGCTTAAAATATTCAGTAAACCATGTTGTAAAGAGATGTGCTGTCATCTAGGCTTTGTTGTTCCATTTACAGAGCACAGGGAGAGTAGATTCAGCATAATTCTTAAGAGCCCTAGGATTTTGGGAGTGCTAAGCGAGCACTGGCTTCAACTTAATGTCCCCAGCTGCATTACCCTTTAACAGGAGAGCCAGCCTGTCCTTTGAAGCTTTGAAGCCAGGTATTGACTTCCTTCTAGCTGTGAAAGTCTTGGTGGCATCTTCTCCCAATATAGGGCTGTTGTCTACACTGAAAATCTGTTGTTTATCTGAGCTAGATCTTCTGGATAACTTGCTGCAGCTTCTACACCAGCACTTACTGCTTGTACTTTTATATTATAGAAACAGCTTCTTTCCTTAAACTTCATGAACCAACCTCTGCTAGCTTCAAACTTCTATAGCTTCCTCACCTCTCTCAGCCTTCATACAATTGAAGAGAGCTAAGGACTTGCTCTGGGTTAAGCGTTGACTTAAGGGAATGTTGTGGCTGGTTTGATCTTCTACTCAGACCACAAAAACTCCCCATATCAGCAATTAGGCTGTTTCACTGATTCATGTGCTCACTGGAGTAGCACTTTTAATTTTCTTCAGAAACTTTTTTTTTGTACTCACAAGCTGGTTAATTGTTTGCACAAGAGGCTTAGCTTTTAGCCTAGCTCAGCTTTTGACATGCCTTCCTCAGTGAGTTAATCATTTCTAGCTTTTGATTTAAAGTGACTCTTCCTTTCCCTTGAACACTTAGACACTGCAGGTTATTAATTGGCCTAATTTTATTATTGTTGTGTCTCAGGGAATAGAGAAGCCAGAAGAGACGGAAAGAGATGAGGGAATGGTGAGTTGATGGAATAGCCAGAACACACACAACACTTACTACTTAAGTTCGCTGTTTTATATGGGCACTCTTTGTGGCAACTCAAAATAATTGGAATAGTAACTTCAAAGGTCACAGATCACAGATCACCATAAAAAATATAATAATAATGAAAAAGTGTGAAGTATTGTGAGTATTACCAAAATGTGACACAGAGTCCCAGAGTGAGCAAATGCTGTTGAAAAAAATGACACTGATAGATTTGCTTGGTGCAAGGTTGTTGCAGACATTCAATTTGTAAAAAATGCAGTATCTGCACAGCTCAGTAAAGCAAAGTGCAATAACATGCGGTATGCCTGTACCTCAAATGAGATATCTGGGATGTGAAAGTTACTGGTTAAGGACCTACAAGTGTAAAGGACTACAGGAGTATTGTTATTGGAAATCTATAGCATTCAAATGGGCTCTCCAGTGGGCCGAGGGACCTTGCACTTTGAATACTCTTGTTTCTTTCTGGATTCAGCAGTTCTGCTCTCCCATCTCACCCCAGCATCACCAGCTAAGAACAACTGATCTAGTGAGGTGCATATCCAGAATCTCACTTCTAAGCAATTATATTTTCATAAAACACTAACATCTCTTTTCTAAGTATAGTTCATTTACCCTGGCCCCAGACAGAATGTATATACCTCTCAAATCCATAGTAATTTTCAGGAGGAGGGCTTTTATAGAATAAATATGTCAATTAGATTAGTAAAATATGACTTTAATTTAAAATTTGTTTTCTAACTCTAGTACTAGCGTAATCTTATATTGCTTTTATTTTGCAGTTAGCAAAAGAAAACCTAATATTGAGTTTTTATTTTATATAGTGGATCTATTTATGATTCCGTTGCTCAAAGGACTATCCGTCACTGGTACTATGAAACTTGATCTCTCTTGGTTAGAACCCTTAGGTTAGCAGTTGAATTGGAGCTTTGGAAATAGGAGACTATAGCTCTCCCATCCCCTTTACTGCCATTTCCTCTAACAGTGCTAATCAATTAGCACCCTAGAGGTAACCTCACTGAAAAGGACCAGTGCCAACTACCACATTTAGGATTTTTGCCTAAGGCTCCCAATTATCTTCCAGGAGTTCAGAATCTTTCTCCTTTCAATTTACCTTTAACATAGTTGGGAGCCCTGGGGCTTGAAGTAGCTGGTTTTGCTTTAGTTACTGTATTTTTACATTTCTAAAAGAGTACATGTAGCTGGAGGAGGTTAGGATTAAAGGCCTCAAGGACATAAGATGTCCACAATTAGTGCTGCCTCCTCATCACACAGACGCCTTTAAATCTTGGAACTCATCGAATGATCACTCAGCAGAACCTGTACCAGAAGGAATCAAATTGCGGGTGGACCTCAGATGCCTCTTTTAAATAGTTCTAGTTAGCCCTGGCCAGTGTAGCCCAGTGGTTAGAGCGTCAGCCCTCACACTGAAGGGTCGGTCGTGGGTTCAGTTCCCGGTCAAGGGCATGCACCTGGGTTGCAGGTTAGACCCCCAGCTCCCGTCGGGGCGCATACAGAAGGTAACCAGTGGATGTGTTGTGTTGATGTGTCTCTCTTTCTCCCTCCCTCCCACTCTCTCTTAAAACAAAAATAATAATAATTAGTTCCAGTTAGCTTTGGTAGAGAAGGTTTAGATGAAGGATGAAGGATGAAGGATGAATTTGGTTCGATGCTGTGAAAAAGGCCTGACCGCCCACGCCGATGAAACACTCTCTACCCTGTGGCACCGCTGTCTGGAGACCTGTTTCTCATTTCCTTTTCAGCGCTGTTCTCTGAATACTGTTCTAACTTTCGGACTCCCCTGGTAAACTGTGCATTCTTAGAACGAGGACTGGCCTTCCTTCCTCTCTGTGTTCCTGGGACAAAGTTTCTGATACTAAACAGCACTCATTGAGTATGGCTTGAAATAGAACAGATGAACTGAGCTCCCCGCACAGCACTAGGTGATTGACAGATGCGGTTCCTCTGAATCCTTACAGCAGTAGACAGAGGTGGTTTCCAGAATCATCACTATTACATTGATACTTTTCTTCTAATTATTATTAACACTTTAGAAATTAAGAAACTGAGATACAAGG